GGAAGATATGGAGGCAGTGACAGATTTTACTTTCTTGGGCTCTATGATCACTGCACATGGTGACAGCAGCCACAAAATTAAAAGACGCCTGCTTCTTGGGAGGAAAGCGATGACAAACCTTGACAGCATCTTAAAAAGCAGAGACATCACCTTGCCAACAAAAGTCCGAATATTCAAAGCTATGGTTTTTCCTGTAGTGATGTATGGAAGTGAGAGCTGGACCATAAAGAAAGCTGACCACCGAAGAATTGATGCCTTTGAATTGTGGTGCTGGAGGAGGCTCTTGAGAGTCCCCTGGACTGCAAGGAGAACAAACCTATCCATTCTGAAGGGAATCAACCCTGAGTGCTCACTGGAAGGACAGATCCTGAAGCTGAGGCTCCAATACTTTGGCCATCTCAGGAGAGGAGAAGACTCCTTGGAAAAGACACTGATGTTAGGGAAGTGTGAAGGCAAGAGGAGAAGGGGACAACAGAGGATGAGATGGTTGGACAGTGTCATCGAAGCAACCAAGATGAATTTGACACAACTATGGGAGGCAGTGGAAGACAGGAGAGCCTGGCATGCTCTGGTCCATGGGGTCATGAAGAGTCGGACACGACTAAACGACTAGATGACGACGAATGACCCTAAAAGAAGATTATGTATATAACTTGATCACAGATTATAAATTATAAAATCCAAAACTCCTGAAAAAAAGTACATGTTCAGTTTCTAAAAATCCCACAGCAAAGTTCTGTGGAACATTTACCATGCTTTTCTAGAGGAGAAAAGACTTCTTTCTTCCCATGCCCATAACTGTTTTGCAGAGCTTTTTGACATAAAGCATGGGTCAGTCTTTGGCAAGAAGCAAGCAGCAAATATAACCAACCATGTGCACCTTTAAGTCTAATTCAGTTAAATCAGGTCTCCACTACTGAATCTGAATTTGCTTTCCTCAAGCCATGAGCTCTACTGATTAACAATGCCAGTCAGCCCAGTAGAAGTTAATACATTTTTGACTGGCCTGCCCCCATTTTTAGAATTGCTTTATAAAATGTTGATTCTATAACAACCAAACAAAACATTCAGTGTCTTTTCTTTCATTAATACCAACTTGGAATCTTCTAATTATTTCAACCCAAGGTTCCAATATGTTTTATGGCTGTATTCAAATTCCATGGGTTATTGTTATTACTGTTTATTGTTGTTAACTACTTGCAATTATACCCTGCTCTCCCACTACAAAATAGTGCTCAAGGCAGCTTACAATCTTTGCACAATAATAAAAATAAGGAAAGCAAATTTAATAAACTTAAAACATCATTTACTGCTGTGGATTCCAGCTTCGGCACCCTGTTCCCTTTCATACAGCATGTCTACAAGCCGAAACATCTATTTACATTTTCATCTTTTTTTGCCATTATGTCAAAATTGGAATAAAATATGGTCACCATCAATTATGGTCCACCTGAATAAGCTAACTCGTAGTTTATGATCATTACTTGTTCAGATTTGATAACCAAACAAACCTGAACAAAACAAACATAAAATTAAAGAATAATGTAACACATTGTGTTATGGCTTTTCATACTTACTCAAGCACAATACTGGTAGGTTATTACGCTTAGGTGATATAGGATGGTATAGTGTCGTATGCTGGAAGGTACCTTGGTGGTAATTTAGTTCAACCCCTTTTTCAGTACACTGCGGTTAGAGATAAGGCACTCCTACATACTCCTGTTGTACATCTTCCACAAAATGTTTAGTTGCTTCAGTAATCCTGAAACAAACAACAAACAAAAATTTGACATTTTTCTATAGCAAGGAGTGTACAAAAGAGCTAGAAGAAAATATCTTATTTTTAATGACCAAAAATGTGTTTATAGCACAAGAAGAATTCAAGCTTTGGTTTTCATCATTATTGGTGCATGAGAGTGCAGCAATGATCTTGTGTTGGCACAGCAATTCAACATTCTATAAGGCAGTTCTAAAAATGGAGAGGAACAAGGATGTCAAACTTCATACAGCAATGCGGAACTGAAATGCTGACCATGGCGGCACTACCATTCACAAAGAGATACAAAGCAGGGGGAAATCCCCAAATCTGACTCCTTTTTTCAATCAGGTAACCATTTCTCTCCCAAACACAAAGTATCAGGGCTATTTTTTCAAGTTCTCTAGGTATCTATTGCTTAGAGTCACAAAGTAATCAAAACGACTATAAGTGAGCACAAGAAGGTATAAACCATCAGTGTAAACCATCTTGATTGCTGACATGGGTTTTGTCAACATTCATGCTGCTCTTTACAATGTAAAGTCTGGCATCCTTTTTGCTGCTGGCAATGTGGGGACAATATTGTGTAGCAATATCAGGCCATTTCCTGGAGTTTTGAACTGTGGTTAAAGAAGCAAAATATCTCAAGTTCATAAACCAAGGGTTTTTTGAAGAAGTGAATTACTCAACAAAATCATGTAACTATGGGCCAATTCAACCAAATGTTAGCCACTCATAGGGCTGAGGATACAGCAAATATTCAAAGATGGGGCTGTTTACATCTTTTGGACTATGATTCCAGAATATCCCAGCCAGCATGGCCATTTTCACTGGGGCACTCTGAAAGCTGTAGTTCAGAAAAATAGCTTCCAATGCCTGATAACACTGCCATGTTAGCTCGTACCATTAGTAAAGAGTCTTGACTTGTAAGAAGATGCAGCAGCAGTAATGTACCATCAATGAAGGCTTATTCTATGGCAGTGGTAGAGGCAAAGAAGTCAGTCTTCTCTGCCACTATTGCATCTGCAGGGAATCACACAGTAGAGGTTTTTTGAATGATCAAGGGCCTGCTACATGCTAGCCCCCAAGCAGATACTGCAGACCACAGTGTAGCTCACTGTGAATAATTTGCACAACACCTTGCAGGCAAAATAGCTCAGATTTGCTCTGACTTGGATTGCTGTAGCTGTTTTAGGTCCTGCGAATGAAACTGTGGGCCCTGCTTGCCCTGTGTTAATGGATGAGTTTCAGTTTCTGCAGCCTGATAATGTGGTCAAGACAAGCAGGGAGATGAAGGCTATCAGGTGCCTGCTACATTCTTGCCCTTTCTGGCTCATAAAAGCCACCAGAAAGGGACTAACTGACTGAGTAGGAGGAGTGGTGAATGACCTACCATGGCAGATGACTTACAATGGGAACTGGAGAGCAGATAGGTCCCTGTTGGTTTTGCTGGACCTCTCAGTAGCTTTTGATATTATCAACCACAGTATCCTCCTGACCCATCTCTCTGGAATGGGACTTGGGGTCACTGTTTTACGATGGCTCCAGTCCTTTCTAGAGGAGAAAACTCAGAAGGTGGTGCTGGGGAATTCCTGTTTGAAACCCTGGCTGCTAACATGTGGGATCCCTCATGGCTCTATTTCATCTCCTATGTTATTTAACATCTAAATGAAACCAGTGGGAGAGAGTATCAAGAATTTTGGGATTTAATGTCACTAGTATACGAATAACACCCAACTCTACCTCTCCTTGCCACCTAAATCTGAGGAAGCTACTTCAGCTCTAAATCAGTGTTTCGTATCAATAATGGACTGGATGAGGGTGAATAAATTGAAACTTAATCCAGACAAGACAGAGGTGTTCCTAGTCAGTCAAAAGACAGACCAGGGAATAGGGAATAGTTAAAAGTCCTAAACAAAAGTATGGAACTTGTTGACTTATGTAGGTACCTTGGAATACCGATGCAGAATAGGAACACAGCTATACAACAGAAATCAGGAGCAGCTTCCTTAAGGCAAAGAACATAACATCCAACAAAAATGTAGATTTGGCTTTCAGGATGTACTTTGTACAGTGCCACATTCTCTGTTCTGCTCTATGGCATGTATTCTTAGACTTTAAGACAGACAACCATGAAAAAGATAAAAGCATTTGAATGTACATTTATTGCAGGACATTAAGAACTTTTTGAACCATTGAGGAGGTACTAAAATTAATGAAAAAAAACAATAAACAGAACTGAAAAACTAGAATACGTTGCCTCCGTAATAAGAAATGAAAAGTACAGATGTTTACAACTGAACATTAAAAGTAAATGAAATACAGGAAGGAAAAAATATATTGGAGAATTGTTTGTATGCAGCACAAGATAATTTTTTAGAGCTGCCATAGCAGTGTAATCATGATGACATCCAACCTCCAGTAGAAGAAGAACCTGGAGTTTTCTTTCAGGAAAATGGTGCTAAACTTATTTTTGTCAACTGCTACCTTTACAGTATGTCAACAAGAGAGCTCCAAGAAGTTCAAGTAGAGAAAGAAATGGACCACAGAGATATGGTCCACATGATCCATTATTAATGGCTTTCAAAATGTCACATTGAGATTAATGAAAGAGAATATATAAACTGTTACACAACAGAAATTAGTATGGTAATAAATTCAACAATAAATTAGGTTATTTCCTTACTACAAATAGTAAGTTACTGTTGGTTCCACTGTCTTGCTAAGAATTAAATAATAATAATAGTGTACACTCTTGTGTAAAAGATTGGAGACATCTACACCTATTTCTGTCCAGCATAAAAGCACTTATACAGTACACCATTCCTGTATGGGTCACCCTATTTCTCTGAAACAGCCTAGGGAAATGGCAATAAACCACTGCAGATTCTTCTAGTACTGATTTAACACCAAACTACAGCTGGTCGAGTGTGAATCATTCAGTGACTGGAGTATATCCAAGAATAAACCAGAAGCTAAATGGCACTGCAAATGCACCAAATAATAGCTTATGTCACAAAGCTGTTGTCAGAACAAAAGACTGTAAAATGTTCTGCACCTTGACTGCTTTATGACACAATTAAAATCTTTAAATAAAAATTCACAAGTTAACAGTGCAGATTTTTTAATAAAATAATGCATATTATGATGTGCATGGAATGACAACTGAGTGAAACTCTTCCAAACCACGTTTAAATGACTGAACGGATTCAGTTTGTACATATGGCCCCAAAATGATACAGGAGAGTTAATCTGAACTATAAATAATCTAATACTCCTTTAGATAAAGGTTCGCCTTGACAAATTGTCCAGTCGTGTCCGAATCTAGGGGTTGGTGCTCATCCCTGTTTCCAAGCCGTAGAGCAAGCATTTGTCCATAGACAGTTTCCGTGGTCACGTGGCCAGCGTGACTAGACACGGAACACTGTTACCTTCCCACCGAGGTGGTACATATTTATCTACTTGCATTTTTCCATGATATCAAACTGCTAGGTTGGCAGGAGAATACCTCTTAAATTAAGACATATATTTTCATGTATTTGAAAGTGTATGGCAGAAGTAGTGTGGTTATTTGATGTACTTAAATCAGCAACTTCTTGCACTATGGTGTTATAAACACTTGCATATACATACTAGAAAGCAACAGCCAACACTGGCTTACTAGGGTGTTTTTATACCATAATGTAAAAATGAAATTATCACATATTACAGGCTATAGTAAGGTTTCATGTTACTCTCTTGATTACAGGATAAACAACTGTTTGTAAACATAACATATAAAAAGACTGAACCTGATAGAAACTTGAAGTCTTATTAGACTCTATACTTATATGGAAGGAACCTACAAAGAACCAAGATGCATGTCCTTCAAACCTCAATAGGATTTATTCATTGAGAATACAATAGTGCAACCTTCCTTGACAGTAAACACTGAGATGAGAAATATTACTGCATACTTTTTAAATTTAGGAACTGGGTATAGGGGGAAAACAGCAGTGGAAAAAAAGTGAAATGTAACACTTGGTGAAGGTTATGCTGTGTTCTGTGCCCTCAAGGCAGAACTGACTTATAGTGAACCCAACAGGGTTTTCAAAGTAAGTGAGATTATTTGAGGAGTGGCTTTATCACATCCATTCCCCCAGTGAGTTTCCATGGGCCAGTGGGGACTCGAACCCTGTTCTCCGGAGTCCTAGTCTGTCACTCTATCCACCACACTGAGAATCCAGTGTAACCAAACAAACAAAGCTCACTAAACACCCTTTTTAAAAAACCCTCCTTATTGCAGGAGCTATCATACAACTTAGTCAGCAAGTTGTTACCTAGTGTTCTTAATAATTTCTCATGTTTTGGCACATGAAATTGTAAAAGTAGAACAAGCAGACTTTTCTTGAAAGGTGATTCATGTATTTGAAAATGAGACAAACGCAACATCTAACAGAATTCAAACTGAACAATCTGACACACTGACACACTAAACGTAAACCAAAGTTAACCTCAAGTCAGGGAAGTATGAACACCAAGAGTAGTGCCAACAACAGTGGGGGACATGATGTTGTATTAAATAGCAAACACTGCTTGGCCTGCTGGCCTCCTCCTTCCATCCCACTACTGGGACTGGTCTGGGAAAGGGTGGAGGGAGTACAGTATTCAAAGACATGTGCAGACAGTAACAGCAAGCATACTTCCTTGAATGTTACATATTACCAATTGAATATAAACCCTAATGAAATCAATGGGTTCTACTTTCAAGGCAACCTGAGCGATCACTGCTCCTCTCCCGAACAATCCTATGGAACCAGTTGTTTGACACTGACCCGAATATTTCATTGGTTATCATTATAGCAAGATGCTGGGCCCCTGAAAAGGAAGGAGGCAAGGATGATGGCCCTGCAACGCTTTGGTTCCTCCTCGTCCAAGAATGAGATCCAGCGAGTCATCTAGTCTGGCCCCGGCACAGGGCCAGGGACGGGGGGGGGATCGATCCAACCCCCGGAAGGGCGACCTCCTCTTCAGCCTCTCTCCTCTTCTGAAGCCGCCAAAGGACAAGGCAGAGGAGAAGCCGACGTGAGCGGCGGAGAAACCCGCGCAGCGCCCGAATTCCTCCAGCCCCGGGGAGGGCGAGCGGGCGGACGGGCCGGCCTGCAGCCGCCTGCCTCTGACGAAGCTACCAAGACGTCCAAGGGGGGAGGGGGTCGCCCCCCCTCCTCCTTCCTCCTCCTCCTCCTTCGAGATGCCGACGACGGAGCCCAGGACTCCCCTTCACGCGCGGCGGGTTCGCTCCCACGGAGCGACCACCCCCGGCCCTGACACCCGAGAAAGGTGTCGTGGGGACGGCATGCGGGGAGGAGGGGCGGAGGGCGAGGGAGGGAGGGAGCCTGGCAGACCCTGAAGCCGACACCCCCCTCCCCCCCCACACACACACACGCCGAGGGGCTGCAAAAACAGCAGAGAAACTTTCCGGCCAGAGCTCGGGGTGGGGGAGGGTGACTGAAGTCACGACGCCGACGACGCCTATGATGATGATGATCATCCTCATCGCCGCCACACTCCCTCCCCCACCGGCGCCTCCCATCAGCTAACTCGCTGGCTCCCCCCCCCCACACACACACACACACACCTCACCCGCTCCTCGCCTGCCCCCATTCACGCCAGTTTCTGGCGCCCGCCTCACCTCCACCAAAGTCGCCCCGGGGCAAAACCGCTGCGCCGCTTCGGCTCCTCGTCAAGCTCCCAGAGGCTCCCCAGCCGCAATGGCCTCCCTCGGTCTCTCACAGGCCGCAGCAGGCCCGAGGACGCTGACAAACACCCGCGGGCGCCAATCCACAGTTAGATTCTTCAGGACTCGGCCAATCAACCCTCGGAGGCGGGCCTTAAAGGCCACTTTATAAGGTAGGAGGCGATGGTCGCCTTCTTCAGTGACACGGGGGGGGGGAGGAGGGGAAAGTGACAGCTTTTATAGGTAATGTCACCTGTGCGAAAAAAGTGAGTCAAAAATGGCACAGGCACCGTAGGTGGCAGTAGTCAAGTTTTCTGTTACTATATTCTAAAGACGGGAGATAGGTGGCTTCCACATTATTATGATGTTTTACCACTGAGACAAAATAAAGTGACGTTAAGAATTAAATAATTGAGACACGAATACTTGCCCTCTCTTCAGAGGAAGGAAGACGTCACTGCCACATTATCAGAATCACCAGAGAAAAGTTACACATTAATCTTAAAATAAAATGTTTGTGTAACACATGAATCTGTACATTTTATTTTAAGATTAATGTGTAACTTTTCTCTGGTGGTCCTGATATATACATTTTGTATATACATTGGTATAGGATAAATCCTATATATGTAGGATTTACCAAATCTAGGTTAGGACTCCAGGTCAGCCCGGTGTGGTAGTGAGTTGGATCAATAATTGTCCTTAAAGTAGATCTGCAAAAAATCACAGGACTTCAAATTATGACTAAAGTCTCACTGGCCAGAATCCTATTGCAATAACAGCAATCACACAAGCAATAAGAGACAGTTTGCTAAATGTACATCGCACACTCCACTGTCCTCTAATCCTGGTGTAGGACATATTACCAGCTGCACAACTGGGTTCATGGCCAGGAACTGCTATGGGCATAGAATTTTGGCCACTGATTTCAGAGCATCCAGTCTAAATACGAGTAAGGTCCTTATAATCCAATCCAAAGCAATTTGAAATTTGCAAGCATACAGTGGCTGCTGTGTCTGTGGGCAAGGTCAATTATGCGGTAATCTCAAGAGGATGCATCAAATATGAGGAAAGCAGCTGATTCAAAGTAATACAGAAAAAATACTTCAAATTATGAAATTGACCTAGATATAAACTGTAATAGTTGATATCTACATATCCACTGCATCAGCTTGTCCAGTTTTATTACATCAGTTTCATCCTGTTTTATCATCTGAGGTTGACAAGGTGCTAGATCGCTGCAGGGCCACCACAATCTCCAAAGATCTTTGCCCTGCCTGCCTTTTAAAAGCTGCCAGGCCAATAACAACGGAATGGGCCACTTCTATCATTAACGGATCTCTCCTTCAGGGCTGGGTTCCCCAAACCCTCAAGGAGACTACTTATCAGACCCAACCAGGGAAAAAAAACTAGCTTGGCTGATTATTGTAACAATTATTGTCCAGTCACCAATGTTCTTTTTTAAAGCAAGGAGCTTTAAAAAGGAACATTGGTGACTGGACAATAGTTGTTACAACTACTGTATATAGCGTTTGTCTCATTTTCACCCTCTCCACTACCCTCTAGTGGAGAGGGTGGTGGCCAACCAGCTAGGATGAAACCAATGCCCTCAATCCATTGCAGTTCGGGATTAGGCTGCATCATGGCACAGAGATGGCATTGGTTGCCCTGCATGATGACCTTCTGAGGGAGGCTGACAGAGGTAAAATGTCCCTGCTGGTCCTCGTCGACCTCTCAGCTGCCTTTAATATTCTTAACCACAGCATCCTCCTGGAGAGGCTTTCTGGACTGGGGATTGGTGGCCTGGCTTTGTCCTGGCTCTGGCCCTTCCTGCAGGGTTGCCCCCATAGAGTGGAACTTGAGTAGGTGGCCTCCAGCCCTTGGATTCTCGACTGCAGAGTCCCTCGGGGGTTGATCATCTCCCTGTTGTTGTTTAATATCTATATGAGACCGCTAGGAGAAACCATCTGTCCCATCCCTTGAGTGCTGCCTGGCTGCAGTACTGGAGTGGATGGGAGCCAACAGATTGAGGCTGAACCAGTACAAGACAGAGGTATTTTGGTGGATGCCTTGCCTGTCTACGGATTAAGTGCTTCCCTTTCTTTGGGGGGGGCGCTACTCTCTCTGCTAAGGATGAGGTTTGCAGCTTGGGTGTACTTCTGGACCCAGCACTATCAATGGAGCCCCAGATAGCATCTGTGGTCCACTCCATCTATTTCCATCTGAGGCAGATTGCCCAGCTGGTCCCTACCTTGACACTGGGTACCTCACCACGTTGGTCCATGCACTGGTAGTCTCAAGATTAGACTACTGCAACACTCTATACATGGGGCTACCTATGAGGCTATCACAGAAACCTCAACAGGTCCAGAACATGGCAGCCAGACTACTGAGTGGAATGAATAAGTACAGTGGTGCCTCAACCGTTTCGAGTTATGAGCAGCTCTGGCTGCAAAATTTTGCTTCTACTTACGACCGGAGCTTCGAGTTACAACCAGAAAAAAAGGCAGGGAATTCAAATTGCTAACCGTTGGTGGCAAAGAGGCTGCTTCTTTGTAGCTCTTTTACTCCAGTGGTTAGAGAGTGTGCGTTCAGAGGAGGCTTTGGACTGCCTGGTAAGGTGCTGCTTTCTACTTTTTAAAAACTGGATGTTCTGGCTGAGTTTTGCAGTGTCAGTTTGGGCTGGGTGGTGGGGTTATGTTTCTGTGCTGTGATGGGTCTTGCAGGGTTTGTTTTTTGGGTTTTTCCCCCATTTCCGATGGGTCTTGCAGGGTTTGTTTGCTTTTCTGGTTTTTTCCTTCGGCTGGAATGGATCAATTGCATTTCCGATGGGTCTTGCAGTGGTGTGTTTTTGTTTTGTTTTTTGGTGATTCTTTTCTTTGGCCAGAACGGATTAATTGCATTTCAATGCATTCCTATGGGAAATGGTTCTTTGACTTACGACCATTTCGAGTTATGACCCATCTTCCGGAACTGATTAAGCTACAGTAGTAAGTTGAGGCACCACTGTATCAACATATCTCTCAATTCTGGTCACCTTATACTGGTTACCTGGCAGAACACCTACTTCCAACAAGATCTACCCATCTTACAAGAACATCCCAAGCAAGCCAACTGAGGATGCTAACCCTGAAAGAGGCCTGGAAGGAGAAGACAAGAAACTGGGTCTTCTCGGCAGTTGCTCCTCAGCTGTGAAATGAACTCCCCCTTCCAATTTGCCTGGCCCTTTCACTGGTGAAATTTAAATAGTGACTATAAACCTGGCTATTTAGTCCGGCGTTTGAAAACATACCTGCAAACTCAGCTGAGTCTAATTAGCTTATCTGCCCAATGTCCACCATTTTAAATGTTTTAAATATTTTAATTGCTTTGAATGTTTTCAAATGTTTTATATAGATATATTTTTATGTTCTGAGTTTATTGCTTATTATATTTTATTATGTATTTCTAAGTTTTGTGATATTTATATGCTGTAAACTGCCCAGAGTTGGCTTGGCCAGATGTGTGTGTATGTATGTCTGTATGAAAGAATGAATAAAAGGATATATTATTTAATATATCATTTGATAATCCTATCATCCTTGAGCATGTGATTCATCAGGCAACAGAACTCTGCTCACCTGACACAGCAAAAATTAGCAGAAAGAATATTCTCCAGTCATGAGATAAAATTGTTCTTTGTCACTATTCTTATTCCCTCCTCATCTATTTTTTATCACTTCTACACGATGACTAGAGAATGGGTAGCTATGCAGGGCTTGCTAGGCAGTAACAACCAGCATCATCATTCATTGGCTAGTGCTGGTTCACTTACATATTATCAATGGTTCAGGACTGGTAAGAGTAAAATTTAAATTCATAAACCCCCCCAAAAAAATAATTGTATTAAATTAATTAAGCAACTAAGAGTAAAATTTAAATTCCTAAAACCCCAAATAAAAATAATTGCATTAAATTTGTATGTATGTATGTATGTATGTATATGTATATATATGTATGTATATATGTATGTATATACTGTATATACTGTATATACTGTATATATATATACTGTATATATATATACTGTATATATATATATACACATATATATACTGTATATATATATGAGAGAATGATACTGAAGTGTTTTATCCAGTCTTCTTCAGTCTGATGAGATGAGAGTTGGCGGGAGACCCCTGACATATCAAGAAGCTACCTGGATGAGTAATGAAATGTTTCAATCTAAGAAGAAAGAAGTCCAGTTGCCATGACTCAACTTACATATATCTAGTGCAGTGGTTCCCAACCTTGGATCCTCAGATGTTATTGGCCTAATACTCTCAGAAGCCTTTACCACTAACTATTCTGGCCAGGATTTCTGGCAACTGTACTCCAAAAACATCTGGAACCACTGATCTAGTTGTTGTCTTAATCTTACAACTGCAAATCTGGAAGGGGGCCCATAAATCATGGAGTCCAGTCTCTGTCATGGAGGCAGAGTGGGGAATCAAACTCCCAACCTCTACAACCAGATACCTAAACCACTGAGCTACCCAGTAGTTGTAGCCGCCTAGAGTGGTCTTTTAGGCTAGATGGGCGGGGTATGTATAAATAAATAAACAAACAAACAAACAAACAAATTAATAAATAGTCTATGATTCTGGTTCCCACAGTGGCCCACCATCTGCCTCCTCTCTCTTTGATCCCAAGTATGTGGTCCATACTCTTAACTTGGAGCAAAGAGGTTTTATATAGTTGGTAGTCAATGAGAAAGCTATTAATGTTTTCAGTCCTCTTTTACATAAACCTAGTGGTCTTACATCTTGGAATGGTGAATTCCATCAATTAACTGTGCAGAGTTTTTGTCCCAAATATGACAAACATTCTGTTAGTTAACACCAAATCAAGAGACAAAACGTTTGCAATCAATAATTTTCTTTAATTGCATAGCATCTTGGCTGTAGTACAAAAACACTGAGCATACACAATATCCAATTGCCTTATAGGGTTAAATAACGTTCAAGAAGATGAAAATTGGCTGAAGTAAAATGGCATTTTTGATAAAGATAACTAAGAGGGAAAATAACACAGTATGAATGTTTGACAAACTTCATTTCTGACAGTGCCAAAGTACTGAAAGGTTGCTAAATGCAATATGGATGGAAAGATGTGTGGAGAGATAACAAGAACTTTTCTCAATCACATTATAGTAGGGGGAATGTGGGAAATGACTGGAAATACAATTCATTATACTTAAAAATATAAAATTTAAAAGGTATTGTACATAATTAGTAAAATCTTGATGAACCCACATGAAAATCCTAGGCATTACTACGACTATAAACCAAATATGCTGAAAAATAACTTAAAAGCTATACACTTGTGTATATATAAATACTATGTATTAAAAAATAAGGCAGCAGTCCTATGCACATGTACCTGGGAGTAAATCCTTTATCTACATGTATAGAATTGGGCTGCATGTATAGTGTTGATTTATTCACAGTAAGTCAGAAAAAGCTATACACATATATATTGCACTGTCATAGAAAACACCATTCATTAACTATATGTAAACAATGATTTCCTTCCATTCTTTGGCAATTTTGTTATTTCCCTAATACTGTATGCTATAAGCAAGAGCACTTAGGTGCAAGGCATGTAACAAATATTTAAAGGCACATTAAGCAAACCTTTACAAAATTTAACGTTTTTCAAATATTTTCTGGTCAGATGTACATCCATTGTACTGGCTCAAGGTTTCCATCATAAAAAATTCTACTGAAACAGAATTATGCTTCATAATGATGTGCTTTGCAAAGACACTGTATTTTGAATAAGACTTTTTGACAAATATAATTTGAGATTACTGGTGCCAATAATATGGTATAATGTTTATTCCACAGTCACAGACTTGGCCAAATTTCTTGGAAAATCCACCTGAAATAAGAAAAATAAAATCTGAGAAAGTCATAGGGATGTTTTCTGTTTAACAACATTTATATCCATCACTCAATGAAACCGATAGCTGAGTAACATAAATACTGTCTCCTGATTCTAGCAGCAACGTTTCTTTACTATTAAAGTCTCTCTCTCCCCCCAGCCCATATCCAAAGACTTCCAAAGGCTTCCCTAGGGCAAAGGGCCCCCCGAGAGAGCCTTGGAAACTAAAAGGAAGGGGACTTTAAATTAAATGTTTCTGGGACTGAATCTGGGTTGCAGAAGTGCAAAGTTATGCAACAAGATTTTGCCCAGTGTAAACTATTATAAAGCAGCGAGACAGGATGAAATAAACAGACTTTATAACAAACCTAACTAACATTGTAAGAGCATTAGCCAATCATTTGGTCCTCCCTTCCAGCGCAAATCTGGTATCAGGTAGCCCTTGAGTAGATCACTGCCTAGTGAGGAGACCACAACTGAGATGGTCCTTTCTTCATTTACCACCTGCCTAGCCTCTACTCTCAAAAAGATGAGTGCTCAAGTACAGTCATGCAGAAATATGGCTCTTTCCTATTGTTATGACACAAGTGGAATAAGAACTGTGGGGGTTGGCAGAATACAAGTGTACAGAATTGCTCCATAAGGCCCTCTGCATGCATCACCTGTTACTGTCTGTATTTCTGAGTGACATGTTGTCAGATTTTGTATAATGGAAAGAGAAGTGTCAAGCAAAATGGCATATACTCTATATTTTTTATAACCTGTACACTTGTTTATTCCACTTTAAAAAAAACCCCAGAAAAACCTGTGCTCTAACTTGTAGGTAAATGAAATCAATTTTGCTCTGAATTTCCGACTCGGCAGGGCACAACTAGTTCTTTGCATAAACAGCTTGCAATCATTTTTTTCCAGTCTGAAAAAAAAAACCAAGGGAATTCTCCAAGTGTGTCTGTATAAGTGCTTTAATTGGAGTGTCTAAATATAGAAGTAACTTACATCATATCCTCTGAGAACAGCCAGGTGGAATGAAAGCAGCTGGAGAGGGATAACACTCAAAACTCCTTGCAGACAGTCCACAGTCTGTGGCAGCTCAATAGTTTTGTAAGCAAATTTGGAGCTCTCAGTATCTTCTCTAGAACATAAAATAACAGGGCGACCCTGTAAGTACAAAAAGTGAAATAGTGGTGATTAAAAGTTACTTTTTAAATTCATATGTATTTGGTGCATAATTCAGACATTTCTCTTCAGACATGTACCGAGAATAGAACTATATTTTAAAGTTATAAAGGCTGTTAGGGTTACTCTTTTTTTCATTCTTTGCAGCTAATGAATGAACGCATAACTTAATTAGAAAAGTGGACATCTTACCAGCTTATAAGTACAATCCTATGCACACTTACTGGAAAGTTTGTCCCATTTAACACAGTGGGACTTAGGTCTGAATAGATGTGCACAGAGATGCACTGTAAATGTTGTTACAAAATCATCTTTATAGGGTAACATTATAGCCAAAGCTCAAAAGAGAAAACATGTATTACTAGAAATATAATACAACCTTTTAGCCATATTCTCCTCCACCCTTTCCCCCCAAAACAAAAACAAAAATGGTGAACACTGTAAGGAAAGAAGTATGCACAATATCAGCTTTTAAAACGAAAATGAAATGTATAAATCTAAGAATGTGATTTGTATTCTCCTAGAGGGAAAGACAATACTGAGAAAAACTGAAAGCAGCAGAAAAGGAGCCAGACAAAATGAGAGATGGGTTGACTCAGTACAGTGAGTGTTTGCAAGACCTAAGCAGGGCTGTTAATGACAGGACTTTTTGGAAACTAACACATACTGTAGGGTTGCCCAAGTTGTAAATTAGTTGGCATAACACAACAGAAGCAGCCTAATAAACTTGCAGTAGTTTCTGCTGAGCACATATTCCTAATCTGAACATGGCCAAAAGTTGCTGAAAGGCTGTTTCATTCTCCGCGTTGTCTAGAACTCTTTGTGCCTGCAAAGATAACCACAGGCCAGGGAATACAGGGCAGGCGAAAGGGTGGAAACGAGCCACCAAAGTGCCCAGAATACCACTTTTCCCCTGGAAGTAAAATTTATGTACAGTCAACCCTCGAATTACGAATGGCCCTACTTATGAACAATTCAACTTATGAAAAGCTCCGATAGGGAAATAGGGAACTCAACTTGCGAACTTCCCTCAAGTTACGAACAGTAAAAAAGTGCCCCCCTCCCTCCCCGCCTCTCAGCTGATCTTAAAGGCTTCCGGAGGCCTGCTCAGCACCTAAAAAGGCAGGGGAATAAAGCTGGAAATTAAAAAATGCTGCTTTTCCTTTGCCCCCGGGCTGCTCCAAAATGCATTTCTTCCATTATTCCAGGATACTTTTATTCAGTGCTGACTGGAAACAAATAACCATAGTGTTCTCACCCTCACATCCGGACAGCTACATGCCTCTTCAAAGAATTTCCTCTTATGGTTTGTCCACCCATGCCACTTTCATTTTTTCCTTTTAAAAATGGTATCATGAACCATCTTGTGTCCCAGAAAGAACATCCACAGTGACTTAGCGTTAAAGCTTAAAAACAGTTTGCCTCTTATAAGCAAGTCTGGCAATGTTTATGTATCGTTTCAGTACATATATTGACTAAAGACTAGGAGATTAAATTTGGTTTCGACTTATGAATGTTTCAACTTACGAATGGATTTCCAGAACGGATTAAGTTCGTAAGTCGAGGGTTGACTGTACACTTATGGGAAACATGAAAGGTTTATAAAATTATGTATAATGTGGAAGGAGTGGAGGAATTCCACACCCCCTTTATAACACTGGAACTAGGGATCACCCAGTAAAACTATTGGCAGGTCCAGGACAGACAATATAGATACTTCCCAAAATTCACCATCAAATCATACAATGATTACTACTAGTTTAGATAACTTCAAAGTGAAGCCAATTTATGCTTTGTAAGCTGATCACTTATTTAGATGTTTTTAAAGGGACTTAGATTTATGGTTATGGCTTTGTGCAACTATGCAGCATTAGTTATTAGCCATGGTACAAAAGAGGAACCTCCAAATACAGCATACATCTGAATACCAGACGTCTGGGACTGACAGAAGGGGAGACCTCTCGTCATCACACTCTGTAAGCCTCACAGAGGCCTTGACTATTTGGCTGGGAGGAGGGATACTGGTCTTTTTTAAATGCAAATTTAAAAATATTAATGCAATAAACAGAGTTAATATGATAAAATTAAATAATGAAATCCTATCCAGGAACCTAGATCAGCCTTTTTCAGCGCTGGGTCCTTGCATGTTCCTGAACAATTCCTATCACCTGAATGGGACGACTGAGAATTGAGTTGATAGGAGATGCAATGCAAGGCTGGGAAAGGCCCAAGGTAATAACACAGATTATGTATTTTCACCCTTAGTAACTGTGATTCTTAATTAACTAAAAGTTTGTGCATGCAACATTTCTCTAAGTAAATGGTTCAGGGATCGGACTGGATACAACAAACATAATGATTCTGAAGGTTTTGCACTATCTTTAGGTGTACAATATGCTTATCAGACAGCTTACCTGGCGAGCGATAACTTGCTGTAGAGCATTCTGGCATTTTGTAAAGCAGGGATCCTTCATAATAACCATGATAACTGGCATTTGTTTATCTATAAGTGCCAAAGGGCCATGCTTCAGCTCCCCAGCCAGGATCCCTTCTGAGTGCATATATGTAATTTCTTTGATTTTCTGCAGGGGGAAATTGAAACACATTCACAATCAAAGGACTCTTAAGGTGTTTAAAATAATTAATTGCAGATTGGTAACATTTGGTTAAATCCAATGTTAGTCTTACCAGACTTGTTAAAAAGACTGCAGCTGTTTACTTATAATCATCTAATATCACGTAGATTTCAGTGGGTCTACACTAGATAGCACTAGTACGGGGTTTAGCCCACCAATAGAAGTTAAAATTCAAAAGCTTGCTTTGGTGTACAAAGTCCTGTTGGTGTTACTTATCAAGTTATGGGGTTCTTTAGATTCTGGCTAATATGCATGTACAATTCCCATTCCTGAATACTGAACAGGAAAATGAGGGATTCCTCAACATTACGAAGATGAAACCCAATTTTAAAAAAATCTTTCAAACATTACATGTTTATATTTTCCATGTATTTCAATGGCTTTTGTGGACCTTTCTGTGAATTGCATGAATAGCACTGATTGCATAAAAACATTTGTTGGTGCACCATATTATGAGAAATGAGAAACCTGTTTCTTATACTCCTCATGCACCAGTGTGTGGCTCAAAGAGAATTCACAATTGTCCATCTGTTTGATGTTCCTCCAACTAAATAAAGTAAAGTAAAAGGGAAGGTTTCATACCAATGCTCCTTCCAAGCAAGTGGCATAATTGTAGCCACGGCCCATAACCAGAAGTGATCGCTGTTTATATAGTTCAAGTGCCAGATCATGTATCTTCTCATCCAAGGACAGTACTTCTTTAATCATCTCTGCCAACATATTAAAACTGAGAATTACTTAAATGCAATACTAATATGTATCTATTTAAAAGACAGTAATATTAGCAATGTAGTCAAGACTGCACGTATTCCAATTTCTAAAAGAAAAAGTCCAAAAAATATTGTGATTTACACAGAGAAACACGAGAAATCACAATACTTGAGGGCCTTTGTTCTCACCTCCATTAAAAAAAGATTTTCAGTGACCATTTCAAATTGAATGTATAGACTTTTTTTCTACACCTCTCCATAATTAGTTTTTATAACTGATTATCATCTCTCTGGGAACAGAAAGAAAGATTATATAACACAGGCTGAACTCTTGTTGTTAACTTACGCCTGCAGAAGGGTGATCATGTCACCAGCAAGAAGTGATTTTTGGCAATTAAACACTTTCTGCTTTTGTTCCACAGCTTTTATGACTCCTATGTAATCTCTTTCATCGCACAGAAGCCATGAGGTAGAAGAAGGAAGAAGCCTTTAATAGCTGGAAATTGCCAGCAGTGATTGATGTTACCTGTAGGGGGAGAATTTCAGTTTAAGGATTTCCTTCTTCCACCCCACAGCTCCCACAGGATGAACTGGATTACAGTGGAGTCTCGACTTACGGTCAGCTCCACTTACGTACTTTTTGACCTACGTACTTCTCTGGCCGCAAATTTTCACTTCGACTTGCGGCCGGAGAATCGACCTACGGACCAGAAGGGGGAGGCGGGGAAAGCGGCAAATTCAAATTTGGCAGTTTCCCCGCCTCCCCCTTCTGGTTTGTAGGCCACCGATTGTGCCTCCGGATGCCTTCCAGAGCTTCCCCGCCACCATGGGAGGCATCTCGGCGGCCAAAACAAGCAACAACAAAAAACCTAAGGTAAATAAAAATCAACAGATCCATCTGTCTGCTATTCACAATACAGTGGACCCTCGATTTATGGAATTATTCCATATTGGAAAGGTGGCCACAGGTTGAAAATTCCGTAGGCTGAGGGTCCATTTCCCATAGGAGTGCATTGAAAACCATTTAATCTGTTTGAGCCAAAGGAAAAAAAATCCCAGGTTTCCAAATCTGCACCCGCTGCCCTCTGCCTTCTGTCCCCACTGCCCTCTGCCTCCCATCCCTGTGGGGACAGAATGCAGAGGGCACCAGGGAGGGGAGACAGAGGGCAGCGGGTGCAGCTTTGGAAGCCCGGGATTTTTTTTCTTTGCCTTGAACGGATTAAATGGTTTTCAATGCATTCCTATGGGAAATGGATCCTCAACCTATGGACTTTTCGACCTGCGGACACTGTTCCAATACAGATTAATTCCGTAAGTCGAGGATCCACTGTACATAGGAAAAGCCACAGAGTTTAGTGGGAGTTTTTAGCTACTGAAAATCCCTCCCCCCCAATCAATCATGTAATGGCACACTAGGGTTTCTAACATAGTTTGGGATTAATTTTACAATTAAAATTAATGCCCTTTGGACATTAGTCTGTTAATCACTAAATGGTTCTCAGAGTTACAATTTTTTTTAATTCCGAAAGTTTTGAACTTAAGATAAAATCACTGTAAAAGTCTGAACACAAGATGTAAATTCATTGGCCACTTCAGGACACATTTTTACATGTCCTATTTGATATTCTTTAATTATAAATGCTCTTCAAGCAGATGCTAATGAATCCCACTTTGATTAAAAAGTAGAAAATGCATGCATACCAGGTAAGGACTTTAGCCCATTGATTATTTCTTGTCTCCTGTTTTGCAATGAAATTCTGTCTTCTGACATCATCAAGCCAAACATTACAAGAGAGATGAACTGGCTGGTGTAAGCCTGATTATTAAAAAGAAAAAGGAAATGAACATTACTTTGGTGACATAATAGCTGAAATCCAGTAAGTAGTAAGTTGCAATTAGAGTGGCTCATGGAATCAATTGAACTTATGATTCACCAAATCTCCACTGATTCAATGGGCCTATTCTAGTTGTGACTTACCACTGGATTTCATCCACTGTTTGATCCCATGTACTACCAATTATTTATTTTAGGCAAAATTGAGAAGGGCATGGCTCATGGGTGGAACACGTGCTCTGCAAGAAGGTTTCAAGTTCAATGCTTGACATCTCCAAGCAAGCATGAAAAAAATCTCTGCCTGAAACCTTGGAAAGCTGTTATCAGTCACATTAAGCTGGATGACTTAATGGACTGATCCAGTCTGAGGCAAGTGCTAAGCACAAAATATGATGCTTAACACCAAGGAGGGATGTTATGATGATCTCCCATGCAGGCATGCCAGGGTCTACGGTTTAGGCACAAAGGAGAAAACACCTATGCCAGTAAATGCTGGTTACCTTCGTGCTTGCCACTCCAATCTCAGGTCCTGCATTGATATGTACTCCACAGTCTGTGTCCCTAGAGATTGAGCTTCCAACAGTGTTTGTAATGCCAACTGTCAAAGCACGACGATTCTTACAGTACTGCAAAGCCATCAGTGTATCTGCAGTTTCCCCTTTAATACAAGAAGGCATCCTTAATTCAGCCTTGAAAGAAAATCTATAACTGTAGACACCATCATATTCAAAACAGCTGACTGTAAGAAGTCATTACATTAACCAGCCATACAAAGACTATACCACTATTTCCATATTGCTTCTCTTTACCGAGTGATGTTGCTAAAATTTGTAGTTTCTCAGTGCAGAATATGAAGTTTTAACATTACTTCAAATATATGGCAAACATTAACCTACATTTGTCTTCAGCTTGTATATTAAGGACTCTTTCCACTCAACCAATAGCTGCTATCCTGATGGAAGTGGGAGGAAGACCCTCCCTCTCTATTATAAGGAACCAAGTACTGTGATACCTTTATATAAAGAATGTTGTGGCACTTAACAGACTAACTTGTTTCTTAAAGTATGCTTTTGTGGACTAGAGTCTGCTTCATCAGGTGCATGGTTATAGTAAGATTTTGAGAAAAATAGATACACACTCAGATGCCAAGGAAAACAAAATGTAAATAGTAGCAATGAAATATGGAAGTACACAATTAAAATTGTGAAAATTCAAAGTTCAAACTGAAAATTCAGATTGAATGTATGCAAAAATCAGTAAAGTGACCATTAACAACAACAGTAATTCCTAAGTCTAGCAATCTTAATACCAGTGCTAAGCAAATTGACACCTGCAGTGGAAGAGAAAACCACAGCCCTAATCCATGCTCAAACGATTATGTCTAGCTATTTCATGCCAAGCCAGTCCTTTGAAATACTTTTGTAGCAGAATGGCAATTACTTTCTATGCAATTTTAAGCTTAAATGTCAAAAACATAAATGTCAACTCCTTGCGTACCTGGAACTAAAGAAGCAAAATCTTGAAACACTGAATATGGAGTTATTCTGTCATTTATGTTATCATCTTTACTTCCATAATGATGGACTCTATGGCCTAAAGTCATGTAGTCTACATCTTCTGGTGAAATGGGACTTCAGTTCCCTCATCTCCCCACTGCATCCTTCTACACTGACTGAAAACCTGAGGATACACAGATGCGGTATCGGGGGTGGAGTGGGGGCTGATAACTGTTTACATTCTGAATCAGCTGGCAGAAGCAGTCCTGTCAGCAAATTAACAGCATTTGTTCCAACTCTGCATGTTAAACTAATCAATATTCACTAGGAGTGAGATGCTATCATGAACTTCTCTTATGTGATAGGAAACAAGCCACTACAGTGATGCCTCGCGCTTGCGATTTTTTTTTTGGTGACTCGCAAGAAAAATTTTTCTATGGCCATGCTTCACAAGATGAATAGGAACCTCTTTAATTAAATTTTAATGCATTCCTATGGGAAACCATGCTTCGCAAGACAAAATTTTCGCAATACAAAAAGACGCATGGAATGAATTATTTTCGTCTTGCAAGGCATCACTGTATCTAAATCAGGGGTGGGCAAAGTGCAACCCTATAGAAGTTGTTAGAGCGCACGCCCCATTTGCACATGCATTAGCATAGCCAGTGGGGAGGATGGAGGGGAGAGAGACAGTCCAGTAAAATCTGAAGGCAGCACTTTGCCCACAACCGATCTAAATGTTTAACCCATCCTCACAGTAAAACCTTTCAGGCTATGCCACAGTCTTTGTTCCTAGACGTCTGTTCAAAACATCTACACCCGCTCTGTGTGTTCGCTTTGAACTAAGCCAGAGCTTTTTCTGACAAAAAATATCTGTCCTAACAACTTAGCCTAATTATGTTAACAAGTTTTGTAAAATGTAAGCTTCAGTAAACAGAATGAAGCAAGTGGGAATGTTTATAGTGTTTGCTTAAATGGTAGTTGCCATTTCCTGGAATATCTTCACTGTCTGAACCTCACTGTCCATTGTTTCTAACAGCAAACGGACCGAGAACATGGCAAAAATAGCACAGGGGCAAACAGAAAGAGGACAGCTCTGGCTGGTTCCAAATAGGGGGATTCACTGACCTGAATGGAGCCCAATGCATTTTGACCACACTTGGATTTCAAAGGCAGCAATCCTTTTCATTATCCAACACTACAAAAGGGCCCCTTTAGACTTTTATTCTCTATTTGGCACCAGCCAGAAGTTGCCTTTGACTGTCATTGTTAAAAATAGTCCAGATAGTTTTGGTGTAATGTCACTCCAGTGACAAATTATTCACTTCATAAGGAGAATGTCTGTGTGACCTCTCTGCTACTCTCCAATGGCTTCACAGAACACATTATGTTTACAACTTTTTTCTGTAGCACACAGCATTAATAGTAAAGGTAAAGGTTCCCCTTGACAAATTGTCCAGTTGTGTCTGACTCTAGGGGGCGATACTCATCCCCGTCTCCAAGCCACAGAGCCAGCATTTGTCCGTAGACAGTTTCCATGGTCACGTGGCCAGCGTGACTAGACATGGAACGCCATTACCTTCCCACCGTTGTGGCACCTATTTATCTACTCGCATTTTTCCATGCTTTCGAACTGCCAGTTTGGCAGGAGCTGGGACAAGCGACAGGAGCTCAATGCGATGCATGGATTCGAACTGCTGGTCTTTTGACCTTGCAGCCCAGAGGCTTTTGCGGTTTAACCCGCAGCGCCACCACATCCCTATAGCATTAGTAGAGTATAATGCAATTCTAAATACCGTTAGGAACCCTAATTTCGATTTCAGAGCTAAATGGAACCCATAGAATGCTATTTTACATTTCTACAGTGATATATCAGAAATTAATCAGTGTTTTGCCAAACAGCCCTTTGTTTTATTTATCAGTTGTGGTTAGTCCCTGGGTAATTCAAACAATAATTTGTTTAAACTATATTATGACGATTTCAGTCTCCACTTGTTTATTGTTATTTTTGGATGGTGCATGTATAGTTTTTTGCTCAATGGAATGAGTTGAGTGACAGTGAGTGCTGGATGTGTGCAGGTAAGACTGATACGGTGACTGGAAGTGTTGAAGCTTTTTTTCATTGGCTGCTTTCCCCAGTCCAAGGGGGAGGGTGTAGAATGTATACTAGAATGGATGGATGTCTAGGGGAAATGTCCTAAGAAATACACAAGTTCTGTAGGAGAGACAGGGAGAACGTGATGAGTGGTTAGTGAGACAGCATGAACAGAGTTCCTACTCCTGTCCTCTGAAGATGCCGGCCACAGAGACTGGCGAAATGTCAGGAAGAACAACCTTCACAACATGGCCAAAGAGCCCGAAAAACCCACAACAACTGGTTAGTTGAGAGAGTTAGCATTAGATAAGATTTTCTTAAGGACTACAAAAGTAGGGTTAGTCTTAGGTTAGCTAAAAAGCTGTGACAAAAATCTTTATACTGTTCTCCTTGTAATTCCATCTTTTCCAACTGTAACTATTTATGAAAATAAAAACATGTCTAGTGCTTTGAACATCTACAGTATTTATATATTCGAGTGGCAGTTACTACATAAACATCCATATTAGCTGCTCGACACAGCTCAGACAAGAAGGAAAAGAAGGGAACGAAAACAAATCCTTTTGAAAGACCTCCAGTTTAACAACTGGTGGCAGTAAGAGTATGAGTTCTGATAGAAAGCTTAAATTGAGTTATTTCTCAAAATGAAGTGGAGACAACAGTGTGAAGGAGCACAATGGGTGTCTGATCAAGTAAGCAGCAGAATCACATAGAGAAGCAGCCCCTGTGTGCTAGTGAAAAGTACCAACGCAGAAAAAGAAGGCTTGATGATGTCACAGATAGAAATATTTAAAGGTCATTTTATATGCAAACCTTCATGCAAAAGGCAGGACTGGAGGAATCCCAAACCAGAATTAAGATTGCCGGAAGAAATATCAACAACCCCAGATATGTAGATGATACCACTCTGATGGCAGAAAGTGAGGAGATATTAAAGAACCTCTTAATGAGGGTGAAAGAGGAGAGCACAAAAAAATGGTCTGAAGCTCAACATCAAAAAAACTAAGATCATGGCCACTGGTCCCATCCCCTCCTGGCAAACAGAAGGGGAAGATATGGAGGCAGTGACAGATTTTACTTTCTTGGGCTCCATGATCACTGCAGATGGTGACAGCAGCCACAAAATTAAAAGATTCCTGCTTCTGGGGAGGAAAGCGATGACAAACCTACATAGCATCTTAAAAAGCAGAGACATCACCTTGCCGACAAAGGTCCGCATAGTCAAAGCTATGGTTTTTCCAGTAGCAATGTATGGAAGTGAGAGCTGGACCATAAAGAAAGCTGACCGCCAAAGAATTGATGCTTTTGAATTGTGGTGCTGGAGAAGACTCTTGAGAGTCCCCTGGACTGCAAAGAGAACAAACCTATCCATTCTAAAGGAAATCAACCTTGAGTGCTCACTGGAAGGACAGATCCTGAAGCTGAGGCTCCAATACTTTGGCCATCTCATGAGAAGAGAAGACTCCCTGGAAAAGACCCAGATGTTGGGAAAGTGTGAAGGCAAGAGGAGAAGGGGACGACCGAGGATGAGATGGTTGGACAGTGTCATTGAAGCTACCAACATGAATTTGACCTAACTCCGGGAGGCAATGGAAGATAGGAGGGCCTGGCATGCTCTGGTTCATGGGGTCACGAAGAGTCGGACACAACTTAATGACTAAACAACAACAAAAATGCAAACGTATTTTAAGGTACTTGTTAATACAGTGGTGCCTCGCAAGACGAGCGCTTCATTTTACGACAAAATCGCATAACGACGGTTTTGTGATCGCAAAAGCGGTCACAAAACGATGCTTCCTATGGGTTTTTTTTGCTTTGCGATGATTGGTTCCCTGTTTCGCTAACCGATCATCGCAAAACGACGATTTTCGCACAGCTGATCGGCGGTTTCAAAATGGCCACCGGGTAAAAAAAATGGCCGCCCGCTGTTTTCTGGGACGGATTCCTCGCTGCACGGGCAGCGAAAATGGCTGCGCTATGGAGGATCTTCGCTGGACGTTGAGTTTCAAGCCCATAGGAACGCATTAATCAGGTTTTAATGCGTTTCTATGTGCTTTTAAAAATCACTTTACGATGTTTTCGTTCTACAGAGATTTCGCTGGAACGAATTAACATCGTAATGCGAGGTACCACTGTAAGGGTCTGCAGTACCAATTCTTGATTTTGTTTTTTTTACTGATTTGCTTACTTTTAATATTTGCAAATTGTTTTCCAACAATAGTGGTTAAAAGAGTACTTCAGAATAATAACTACAGAAACTATCAGTTAAAAACATCAATTTGAAACTATAGATCAGCAATTACAAAAACAAAGAATGTTGTCTGTCCAGGATTGAAAATGTCCAACAGAAGCTTTGTTGAAAATGTCCAACAGGTCAGGCAAATTACAACTCACCTGACTGGCTAATAAAAAAGCACACATCATCTCGAAATACTGGAGTATTCCGGTCCAGAAAGTCACTGGCAAGCTCCACCATCACAGGCAGCTCGGTCAATTCTTCTAACACTTGACGAGTCTAGAACCATATAGAGACAGCATAGTTGGTCTTCATCTTGAGATAAGGTAAGATCAATGGATTAGTAAAGCAAAATTAAATGTTTAATTGGTTCTGTGAAAATGATGTTACATTAATAGACATTTTAAAAAGGATTAATGGATACACATACCGTACAACTTTAGAGATGACGATCTACAAAGATCATCTCTAAAGCATGTGCATGAGGCTTTTCTTCAGCAGTTAAAACAGAATAGTAGCAAGACTTTAAAAACTTCAAGAGTACCCTAAAGAATCTTTCTAAAAAACTCTGTTTGGTTGTATAATGAACTTACAGCCACTGCAGCATGATAACTGGTTCCGCAACCAATTAATATCAATCGTCTGCATCTCCTAATTTCTTTCAAGTGATCTTTCAAGCCACCTAAAAGAACTGTAGTTTCCGCAAAAGAGAAAAAAATGAGGTATTCTTAGGTCAATTATAGTTTCTATTAGTCATAATGTTAAAAGAAATTTAAATTTCCTCTAGGTTTACCTGTGTCGGTCTCAAAGTTCACTCTTCCTCTCATGGTATTGAAAACAGATTCTGGTTGTTCAAATATCTCCTTCTGCATAAAAGCACTGAAATTCCCTGTTTTTATAGAACATGATCAATTAGTTTCATAGTAGGTTTATTGTTTCATAATGATTGCTGTTTTAACCATGGATGATATTTGCAGAATAGCTAGGGACAGAATGCCAATTGTGAAGGTTAAATTGCTACTAGTAAAAGGTAGGACAAAGGTATGGCAGGGGGCTCGGCAAGTGTGGTCCACCAGGAGCACACAGTTCCCAGCACACACAAACACACACAACTGTGGATCCTCAACTTGAGTCCCCTGGTCTCCAAGAAAAAAGAATCCGTTTATTTATTTGATTTATATACCGCCCATCTAGAACGGGTCTACTCTGGGCGGTTTACATATAATATAAAAATAAACTAAGATAAAATCAAGATTACTCCAAGATGGGAAAGGAAAAAAGAAAGGGGGGGGCAAGAAGAGGAGGAAGAAGGAGAGAAAAGAAAAAGAAAAGGGGAGATAGTCTAGGCCAGTGGTTCTTAACCTTTTTGAAAGAAACGCCCCCTTGAGCCATTGAGGAAGTTATCATCGCCCCCCTCCCCATGGTGATGATATCTTACCTACCTACCTACCTACCTACCTACCTACCTACCTACCTACCTACCTACCTACCTACCTACCTACCTACCTACCTACCTACCTACCTACCTACCTACCTACCTACCTACCTACCTACCTACCTACCTACCTACCTACCTACCTACCTACCTACCTACCTACCTACCTACCTACCTACCTACCTACCTACCTACCTACCTACCTACCTACCTACCTACCTACCTACCTACCTACCTACCTACCTACCTACCTACCTACCTACCTACCTACCTACCTACCTACCTACCTACCTACCTACCTACCTACCTACCTACCTACCTACCTACCTACCTACCTACCTACCTACCTACCTACCTACCTACCTACCTACCTACCTGGGTCTAGGCAATGACTGTAAGGAAGGCCTGCCTGTATAGCCATGTCTTCAAGCTAGTCTTCAAGTATACAAAATGGCAAACAGTACTTGCCAGTAGCCTCTGAGGTGTGTGATTTGCCACCTCTCCCCACTGATGGGTCGATTTATTTTGCCAAAAAAGGTCCTTTTGAGAAACTGGAAGTGACTAGTAAGTTCCCTTTGTCCCTGCCCAGTTCCCGTATTGTTTGTTGTGACTATGGTTTTAAACAGAAAATTTCTGTGTTACCACCTAGTTTGTTCAGCTTGTCTCACCTTTCATGATTTGTTGCAGCTCCATTTGCAAGGTCTGGATGGCTCGAGAGGGGTCGTCGCTGGCTGAGCGTTCTAACCTGTGAATTGAAAGCTTCCCCTCAGCCACGGCTGCAATGTCATCGTCTTCTAGAAAAATGACTCTGTTGGTGTGTTCAATTATGGCGCTACAGAGAAACGCAAGCAAATAAACCGAAAAGCAAATACAAATGAGTTTTCCACACGACACGGTTTTGTTCCACCTGACTTGGAAGTTCCACAAATAACCAGGACCTAGGATTATGTACTACCCAATATTGCACCATGGCTTGAGGATGGCAGGTTGCAGGCTCTTGGTGCATGCTAAAGGTCTTGGACACCACATATGCATCGTCACTGCAAGCAACATAAATCCAGTTCCCTTTCTTTCCTCTCTCTCTCTCTCCACCCCACATCCTGCATGACTACATAAGACATGTATATTAGACACATCCTTATGCATAACGATTGAGCATCTAACATCAAAGGTGATATCTGTTTGGACCACTCAGAGAGTCTGACTGTTAGCAGCACATCTGTCCAAAATGAACTACATTTCCCCATTGAATTACTAAGCTCATCTTAAGAATCAAAACACCAACACACATCTTTTTAATTACCTTGCATCTGAAGCAAAGAAAAATTCAACTGCTTTATCTCCAACAGCATGAAGGCAGGTGGAACTGTCCAGTCTCTTCATTCGCGTTTTGCACATATTCTTTACATTTTCAATGTTACCTAACAAAATAATACATACAGTTGTGAGACTTAATAACTATCTAGATCAAGCTGAAAGACAAGATGGCATAAACATGAATGAACAAAGGAACTATGGCTGTTAGCCCAATCAGAAAAAAGATGGCCAAAGTTAAATGCTTCTATATTAATTTTAGTGGGAGAAAGCTAAGCCCAGGCCTAATTTAAGCTTAAACGCACCCGTTATTCATCAGAATTTCAGGTTAAATCCCACCTGCAATGCATAATTATATTTTGACTCCTTGTGCTATGGATCAACTTCACACAATCATCAGATTATTTAAAAAAAAGAAAGCACAATTGTATATTGAGCCAGTTGTCATTCCTACAAATTAGGAAGCATTTTGAGCAGCTAGAGATAAAAATAGCTAACTATCTATGCATCTGAAGGCACAGGGGTGCTGAACGTTTGGCATGCCAGATGTTTTACACTACAATTCCCAGAATCTCCAGTCTGTAATGATAAACGATTGGGGGAATTGTAGTCCAAAACATCTAGAGTGGCAAAGGATTGCCATCCCTGCTGAGGCTTCCAGTTGCATATTTTTGAGTTTAAAAAACCTGCACATTAACTATTTGATTTTACTATCTGTTCACTAAAAAACATAACATGTTGATGATGCCTATAATGCTTCACAACTTACATGTTCTGTACAAAATAGGAATTTCTTCAGTGGATAACTTTGATTCACTACGAACTCCAATGAGCAGAGGACTCCCCCTCCTGCCAGATGAAGGAACAACAAACAAATTAGTTACGTAGCATTTATGAAGAATATATTCTCTTGTGTGGTGCTATATTGTGGTGTGTAAAATCTTTTTACTAACCTGGTAGCAACAGCTTCCCCTGGATAATGAACACTTTTGAAAACCAATGCAAAAGCCCCTTCCTGGGAGGAGAAAAAATGCATTAATTGGTACATGAGAGCAGTAATTAAAGAATGAGTACATTTATGCCTTAGCAATAGTTTTCTCCATTGCCGTTTTGTATCAAGAAAGAACCAGCCTCAAAGGGACACGACACAACAACCCAAAAAAGCATTCCACTTGCTAGATCAGTAATACCATTCACATATACATAGGACCAATCGTCACTGACCTCTGTCACTCTGACTATATAGATATTATCCTGAGCTGAAGTGTGATTTTACAGTACTGTACATCCAGCTGCAAGGCCTATGAACATAGAAACTAGGCTGGATCACACTCAAATCGTATCAAGTCCTGCTTTCTGTTCTCACAGAGGCTAACAAGATGCCTATGAGAAGCTCACAGTAGGAAATGAATGCAAAAGCACCTTCCTGCTACAGGAAGATGTTTTTGTATATGATGACAATATACAGATATCATTGAATAGCCATCATAATGAGTAGCCATTTATCATCTTAACCTTCATGGATTTCCATACTCCTCTTTTGAAGTCATGCAAATTGGTGATCACTCATCATGAACTCCTCACAGTGGATTGTATGGAGCAGTCGCCCATATGATCAAGGATGTTTAGGCACCTGTGTAGTCTATTTTAATTCAGTGTAAGTACAGTAGGACTGCAGTATCTTGGGAAATGGTTCTAAGCCCCCCCCCAGATGACAAAAATTGTGGATATGCAAATCCTATACAGTATAGGCAGGGGTGTCCAACCTTTCACCTTCCCTGGGCCACATTAGAAGATGAAAATTTGGTTTGGGCCACACATAAATTTGGTTTGGGCCACATGGGGGGGGCAGCCCTAGCCATCCTCCGCAGCCCCGCTCCAAGCACCCTTACAGGCAGCTGCGATCTCAGACAGCAGAGGCTGCCAGTTTCAACTCCGGTGGCTTTATGGGGCCGGGAGGGGTCCACCTATTGACGGGACGGCACAATGCAGTCACACAGCCCACCTCTCCCCTCCCCTCCCGCTCCTTCCTTCCTTCCCTCTCTCCCCCTACCGTTGTGACGTGCCCCAGCTGCATTCCGGCCACAAGCGCCAGCAGTGTAACTTGAAACTTTGGAATTTCTTTTAAAATAAAAAATT